TATCGTGAGCATTTCTTCATATGTTTGTTGGCTGCCCTGATCTCTTCCTTAGTGAAGTGTCTGTTCATATCCTGTGCCCACTTTTTAATTGGGTTTTTTGTCTTTTTCTTGTAGAGGTGTTGCAGTTTACTGTATATTCTGGAAATGAGTCCCTTGTCCATGAACTTTTTGAAGTCCCCTCGTGTATTAGGTATATTCTCCATTTTGGTCACTTTTTACTTCCAAGAGGAAATTTCTCCCATGAAGCTGCCATGGGCATCACTGATAAAGTGAACTCTTACATGCAGGCTTGTCATATGCTTATTTGTGTTATTTTTCATGTTTCATTTAGTCAAGACAAAAATTATATATTTACATCTAGATAAAGCTCATTTAATTATTGCAAAAATGGTGTGCGAGCCTTGACTGACTTCCTCTGGCTTCAGAAGGGGAAAAGAGAAGCAAACTCAAAATCAGCCCAAGGCTGATTCCTATGATGTGGTAGTCAGACATGCCTGCACCCTCCCACATCACTGTCTGCTTCACCTTTGCTGTGGCTGCTTTTCTAGGTATGGATCGTCCATTCCTTCTTCTGAGATGGCTCTTTTAAATTCAGTGTGATGGCAAAAGTAACTAATCCTAGCCTTACAGCCTGTGCACCTTGTTTGCATTGTCCACCCAGTCATTTGGCGGTAATTAAGACATTGGATAGAAAAGCCATATCAAATAAATTCAGGGTACCATGAATATAAAGTTTACTTTGCCCAAAATAGAGACACTTTGTTCAAACACATCATGTTCACTACATTAATATTTTTTTAAATGTTTTATTGTGAATTATGTGACAGTTTACATGGGAGAACATTAGTTTTACATTCATCTTATTGTATATCATTTCATTGTCATGGTTACAATCCCCTGCATGCATTATCAACCAACCAAAGGGTATACCCTGTAAGCCTGACCCCCGGCTGTCAGCACACAGCCCCTCTTCCTCTCTGGGTCTTAAGTTCCCAGCCACTCCATCTCTCCATGTCATCATCTCTGCCTCTGTCTCTGGCGTCACTGCTTCTCTGGGTAGGGCCCTGCTCTCCACTCTTCTCCCTTGATGGTCCCAGGGACCTCCGCTCCTAGACTACAAAGTTAATCACTCCCCTCCTTGCTACAAA